CAATAAAAATCCAAAGTAAATCAGCACAAAAGCAAAGCCAAGAGGGGAAGTAGTGAAAGAGGAAATAATACCTCTACAACTCACCCCTTCAAGGAGGAAATAGGGCATTGCCCGATCCAAAAAAAAGACAAAAAATGTCAAGAATCTTCAATCAAACAGGCACCTCCAGTAGCCTTCTCTATTATTCTTCGACGTCAGCAGCTACAAGCGCACGTCAACCTTCTCTCTTCTTCATCGACGTCAGCAGCTACTAGCGCACGTCAATTTCTCTCTTCTCCAACGACGTTAGCAGCTACCAGCGCACGTCAGACTTCTCTCTTCTCCAACGACGTCAGCAGCCACCGGCGTACGTCAGATTTCTCTCTTCTCGAAGTTTCCAGTTTCCAGCTAGTGTCCAAGCTTCCTCTTGCTTCAGCCAGAGTTCAGCTTGAGGGGGGATGTTAGACAATAATATTAAGTATTCCTAGTTATGGTAGAAGTTGTATTTTAGTTAGTCTCTATTCTCTATTCCTAGTTGTATTAGGAGTATCTTCTATATATACTCTATCATGTACCCCATAATTCAAAGGAGCAATATTATTATTCTAATATTTAACACTTGGCGCCAGAGATGGGGTGGGAGGATGAGTTCTCCATGTTCCTCAATGTAAGTGCTCCATTCTCTATTCATTCATACCCGCCCCGGCCTCCATCCATATTTCTTCCATTAATTCTTGAACACTAGTCGGCATTATACCTTTAATTCTTGAATTGTGGGTTGAAACGTGGCTTTAAATCTTGAATTCTTGACACATTGAATCTTTCTAATTCTGTAAATTAAATCTTGAATTATCTTTGGTTTGAAGATCGATGATGATGAACATTCAAGTTTGATTTGACGAAGAAAAAGATTCTTCAATTTCAGTTCTTTAAAGTAAATTCTTGAATGAAACAGGGCATACGGGTCCGGGTCCGGGTCAGACCCGAATCGCAATGGGGGAATCCGGTAGCGTTCTCTGGTAGTCTGGTTGCATGACGGCCGTAGGGTTGCGGGTCGTGCACGGAGTCGGGTTCGGGTCAGGGTTTTTATTTGAAGACGTATTAATCAACTGGGGTCAAAGTTAATTACATTTTGGTATTAGGGGTTTATGATATCTTCTTCTGTTTTGTGTTCGATCTGTTATAAAAAAAAAGAACAGTCAATGTTTTGGTTTTTATTGCCCCAATTACCGACTAAAATGAAACTTTTTTTCTGGGGGCTTCAGATTTGGTGTGAAGTTTGCAGAAGCCGTCTTCGAAACAGGGTTCAGATTCCATGGGAGGGCATCTTCATGCCCCATGATGGGTCAGGCCGGACACATGATGCCGGGATATATGTAAGTTCTCAACTTTCTTTTTGCTCGATTATTTCAAGTTTTTAAATTAATTTATTGGTTTCAAACTCTGTTTTTTTTTGGGTGGTTCAGTGTGATTGTGGAAGTGTGGGTTTGTACAATGGGTTCCGAGATAAGTTCCATCAGCACCCAATCAAGATCAATGATGAGTTCACAAAGATATGCACCATGACGGCCAAGGGTATGTACCCTACGTCTCAAGGGTGTGTTCATGGGTTTAATGCTGGGTGGAAAGCCCTTTGCCCGTTTGGAGACGGCCGAGGCGGCGGCCATACTTTGCAGGCTGCTGGTGGAACAATCCAATTCTACGCCCCCGCCGCCGAGGAGTACCCTTGCCGATATGACACTGATCAGAGTAAAGTGAAACTTTTCTCCCATGTGACCCAGCTGGGCGAACATAAAACAATGGTCACCATGGAGTCCAGATGCAGAGCCATATAAATATATGCAGCACAATTTTGGGCGGCGATTCATTCATTCGGTCCTTTTTTTGGTTAACATCTCTTGCATATATGTTTGAATTTTAATTCCCATGGCATACATTTCTACTTTTTAAACCCAAAATTGATACGGAATAGTATACAATAATATTGTTGAATCAAAAAATTGACTCCACTCTTAGTACTTCTCGGTCCGCCACTATATTAAATTCCATAAAATATGTATGGATTAAAGGATATGTTAGGGGCACCAAATGGGTTTCCCAAATGTACACCATTCCCCTTTCTACCATTCATTTTATTTTATTTTTATTTTTTATTTTTTAAAATTTTTCTTACCTTTTTTTTGTAGTGATGGAAGGAGTGGAAGATGTTTGGGGTATAGTTTTGGTGTACCCTAGCATTTTCCATGGATTAATTAATGGACCTACAAACTCCTAAATACTCTGTAATATCCCGGCCCCTTCATTTCTTCAAAACCATTCCTCTTCGTTTTTTTGTTTGCAACAATATAACACTTCGAGTTTAACGAAAAATGACCATTATATTCAAATAAGGTTGTTGTAATAATGTATTTCATTTGTTTTAAATTGATATAATAAATTATTTAAATTAGTTGTCACTCTTTTTTTTTCTTCGACGTTAAAGATATAATTGAAAGTTAAATGACGAAAATAAATCTTGCGGGAGTCAAAATAGGAATTGTTTTACCACAAGGGCAGGGGTAGTATGATACCATGATTGTCTTTTTGAACATCAGAAGAATTGAAGAATGTAAACAGTGTATGGGCCGAAGGAATTATTTTTTTTTAAGAATCTTAGCTTGTGTTTGGATGAGGTGAAATTAGAATGAAAGAAAAGGTTTGGAAGAAAAACACAATTCCCCAAAAAATTTCTTCTGTTTGTTTGCGGGAGAAAATGGAGAGAGAATGGAAAATGAGGTGAAAGTTTTTCTCCTCTCTATGGGCGAGAAAATTAGCCAAAGGGATAGAAAAGTTTTGAAATGACATTTTTATCCTCTACTATGTTCACTTTCCATATAGAATAAGAGTAAATTTGTCTTTTTATTTTACTCCGTAATACATTTTCTTTCCTCCTACCTTTTCTCTCTATTTTTTACCTATCCAAACAACATTTATTTTCTTTTCATTTTCTCTTTATTTTCTTTCTTCTCTATTTTTTTCCATTCATTTTCTTTCCACACATTTTCTCTTTTAATCCAAACATTGTGTTAATGTTTTGCAAAACAACTGTATTTTCTTTTTTTGTTAGTCTTATATAGGGGCTACAATAGTACAATACAATGTTTCTATAAAATTTCTTGCAAAAAATTATTTGTGTCAAAATTTGATGCCACAAAAGTTAATTTTTTGTAGTGCTTTTTAGTTATCTTATAAGTATAGAAAAACTATTTATCAGCTGACTTTTAATTTACAAACTACTTATAATCAGCTTTAACCAGTTTGTAAGTACATAGATACACCTACAAAATGTTATCAACTTCATTTTGATTAAAGAATTGAATTGAAAAAATAAACACTATTTAAAAAAAGTGGCATTAAAGGGACATTTCTTTTTCGACATAATCTAATTTTGCACATCATAAAATAGTGTGGGCCTGGCGTGTTCGCATAAGAATACCTTCTTCCTTCGTCCGTAAATTGAATGAGACAGTGGTGCCACACGTCCGCTAGACCATAAGGTCCATATGGTCTTTGGCTTTGACGTACGAGTATAACTTATACTTAGATAATTGTTTAATTTGGTGACGATCGATCAGGATTTGTCAAGTTTTTTTACGGGTATAACTTATACTTAAACCACAACGTAAGTGTCACACTATCATTCTCACACTGCGCCAGCCACCAGACGCCGCAGATCATCAACGATTGACTTATCACACTGATCAATTGCACTGTCCTATTTTCCATCACACTGCCAACACATGCTATTACTTCATACAATCATTAAACTTCTATTTTGATCTACATAAACGTAGGACTCATATTTTGATAATTTCATACTTTTTTACTTCTATTCAAAGAGATTTCTTAACACTTAAATCATTGCTTCGTTTGGAAAAAAGTGCAAAATACTAAGTTATTATTCTTTTGGTTCAGTTTATTTTTTGGCACAATTCAATCGATTTTGGTTCGGTTTTCGACTTTCTTCAATTCACCCACCCATAGTGGCAACATCAATGTTGACCGTAGTACCCCCTGAAAAAGGCTATTGCCCTTGTACGTGTATCAGCAAGTGGTAAGGAGTTGTGCGTTATGTTGTCAAGTAACCAACTCAACCACAAGATCAAGCTTGTAGTTGTGGCTCAGGAATGATTGTTATATACTCTAACACGCCTCCTTACGTGCAGGCGTGGCCTCTTTGAACTTTGCACGTGAAACCTTAATTTTTTTAAATTAGGTGGCGGTGAGTTTCGAACTCGTGACCTCTTGGTCATCAAGACTCCGATACCATGTCAAGAAACCAACTCAACTACAAGCTCAAGCTTTTGGTTGAGCTCAGGAATGATTGTTATATACTCTAACATATGTACTCCGTAATTGAATATTTATACACAATCTGGGTTTGCGTTTTTGGTACGTAGCAAATAAGTTAGGTTTTATTTATTTATTTCAAGCAAGTGATGATGTTTGGGTTCAACAACACTATTTTGTTCAAGAGTGACAACGGTGATGCTTGGCGGAGAACCCTAGCATCAAAGTTTTTTTCCTGGTGTTAACCAGAAAGAGGGAGAAATTAAAGGCATCAAGTTGCGATATCATGTTGATTTAAAGAATCATACTCTCTCTGTCCTAAAACTATCTTCCCACTTCCCCTTTTTCTCCGTCCTAAAACTACCTTCCCATTAGAAAAAAGAGATGACAAATGACATTAATACCTTCATGTATTTACACCATTATCTTCTAACTCTATATTTTGAATGATTGCAAAAAAAAATTTCATAAAAATCTTTTTTAAGGAGGGTAAAATTTGAAGTCAAAGCCAAAAATTAAAAATGGAGAAAAATCAAACTGGGAAGAAAGAATTAGGACGGAGGGAGTAAGTTTTATTCAAGGAATAATGAGGGTACATACATGATAGTCTAGGCCCCGTTTGGCATCAGCATCAGAGATTAGCGTTAGCGTTTTGAAAAATCTATCTGACGGTAGCCTTTAGTGTTAGCGTTTTCAGAATTAATCTACACCATTAAAATTTTATCCAAAATGCTAATGTTAATCAAAAAAGCTGTTACCAAACAAAGGCTTAGATAGACAGAGACCCTTACATGAATTAAGATTATTAGAATATTGTAGTTGACTAATATACTACGGAGTAATATATACTACCATAAATACAAATACTACTATAACCGTCTACGAAAGCACCAAAGGAGGAATCTTTCTTAAACTCTTGTAGGACTTCATATGATTATACTCGTATAACCTTTCTTTTATCAATTTTTAAAAGTTTGGCAGTAGTGAATACTTTACAGTCAGCTTTATATGTAGAAATTCCTTTATATTTATTTTCGTCTTGATCGTCAAAACCTATATAAGAGAACATAATGTGAATACATTACATAATACGGAATTGAATAACATCTCAATCACGTATCTTAGTCGTTTCAACCAATCATTCATACACTTTGGTCACTAAATAATTGGAGAGAAAAGTAAATCATTTATTATCAAATTTTTAAAGTAAAGAGTGTCTTTAGTGGCCTTTGGGCTTCCACTATAGGTTGTGTGGTCATCTTCTTTGCATGATACTCGTTGCTTTCTTTCTTGGAGCACGACATATAGAGTTTCGGTGGAGCAAATTTTGATCAAATGTTGCAGGAGTGGAAGAGCTGGAAGAGAATACAGAGATTGAAAACACAATGATCAAATGATCGCATGATTCAAATATTATCTTTCTAAATCAAACATAAAAGATTTTCACGTTATTTTCCAAAAAAATATTTTCGAATCTCTTTTTTTTGAAAGGTTCGAATCTCTTGTATTACCAATAAAAAAGTAAAGTTACTTGTACCCCATGTTTTGTACCCTACTTTATACCCTGTAGCTAGGGCTGTAAACGGATAGTCGAAAATCCGATTACCGTCCGCATCCGTATCCGTTTAAAGAGAAAATATCCGCATCCGTTTTGAACGGATATTATCCGTATCTGATTAAGGATATCCGATTACTAAACGGATACGGATTTGGTAATTGTATATCCGATCGGTTTAAAATCCGATCCGCATATGCATCCGTTTAAATAACCGTTTATCCGAATATCCGATCTGTTATATATAGTTTTTCCTAATTTTTTATGTTTATATTTTGTTTTTCTATTGATATTTCAAAATATAAGACATTTTTAAATACAAAATAAATGTGTACACATAAAAATATATACAGACATATAAAAATATGTGTATATATGTGTTGTGTATATCTTTTTATCATATAAAGTTATTGTAAAATATCAGAAATCATGAAAACAAAGAAAATAATTATCTCATAACAAATTATAGTTGATTTAATAATAGTTTGACTTTAATCTTATTTAAAAATAAAGTATTTTTTAATTTGATTTTAAGAATTGGAAACGGATACGGATATATCCGATATCCGACCGATATCCGACGGATGCGGATACGATTTTGATTTTCAGTATCCGTCAAGATCCGTATCCGAATTCGATATCCGACAAAAATAATCGGATGCGGATTTGGTAATGGCACATCCGATCCGATTAATATCCGTTTACACCCCTACCTGTAGCTTTGCACCAACACTTTGTGTTGGTGTAAAACTAATTTTTATTAATGCATCAACATTTTGTGTTCGTGTAAATTTTTATTAACGCACTAATACTTGTGTCGGTGTAAACCATCAAAATATTTTTGTATAACTGCAGTGTACAAATGAGGTAGAATTTGTGGTGTAAGTGTAGCTAACCCATAAAAAAATCAGAATAAAAATTTTTGAAAGGCGAGATACCTAAATCCTAATCATCCTAGAATTCGCAACTGCATAGAGATCAAATCAGATCTTACAAAATACTCGGGTACTAAAATAAAATCAGGTCATCCCTGTGACCCTGTCATTCATTCATCTTCAAGCTCTTTTCTTGCTCTCAATCTCCATTAATTAATTAACGGAGGTAAATATGTATTCGTTTCGTCACTGGTCTGAGAAAACCCTAGATGAGATGAGCGAAGGGGACTGGAGAATCTTCTGTGCAGAATTCAACATCAATTACAAAGGTGCCAGAGTTCCTCCGCCCATGAGGAATTGGTCTGAGAGTAAACTCAGCGCCGAGCTTCTTAATGGAGTCCAGCGAGCGGGCTACGAGAAACCCTCCCCAATACAGATGGCTGCTGTTCCTGTTGGTCTGGAACATCGCGATCTCATCGGTATTGCTCCCACCGGCTCTGGTAAGACTGCCGCTTTCGTCCTTCCCATGCTGATGCATGTTTATAATCTGATGGTTGAATCAGAGAAGAGCATCGATGATGATGATGATCAGGGACCTTGTTCTCCTTATGCTCTTGTGTTGGCCCCTACTCGAGCCCATGTTCTCCAGATTGAGGAGGAGACTGTTAAATTTTCCCCTTATCTCGGAATCAAGATTTTCTCCATACTTGCTGGGCAGCCAATTGATGAACAAGGTTCCAGACTTCGTCAAGGGCACTTCCAGGTTGTGATAGCCTCTCCATGCCGTCTTCTAGATTGTTTGCAAAGGCGTTATCTCGTCTTAAACCAGTGTAACTATGTTGTTCTTGACAAAGCAGACCGTATGATTGATATGGGTTTTAAAGATCAGGTCACAGATATCCTAGATTCCATGCCCCGCCTGCGGAATAACAATAACATGAAACCCGAGAATTTAGATGGTGAAGATGAAGAAGAAGTCAATGGGAAACAGGTTTATCGCACTACACAAGTCTTCAGTGCCACCATGCCATGGGCAGTGGAGAGGCTAGCGAGAAAATACTTGAGAAATCCGATTGTTGTTAGGATAGGCACAGAGGAGGAGGCCAATGAACCCCCCATCACACAACATGTGATCATGATGAAACCCTCTGAGAAATCCAGTAGGTTACGGATTTTACTGGACGAGCTTGAAGATAATAAGACTGCAATTGTGTTCACAAACACTAAGAGCGATGCGTGTACTATTGCTAAATTCTTGGGTAAGGATGGCTATCGCGTTGCGTTACTACATTGGGGAATGGATGGGGAGCAAAGAAGAATCATCCTGGATGGCTTGAAGAACAATGAACACAATGTCTTGGTTGCTACAGATGTTGCAGCATATGGAATAGATGTTCCTCATGTTGCACACGTGATAAACTACGACATGCCCGGGGACATTGACACACATGCTAATCGTATTGGCCGTGCTGTTGGGGAGGGTGGCGGTATTTCAACAACATTTTTGACACTGGATGACACGGATGTGTTCTGTGATTTGAAGCAAATGCTCATTCAAAGGAATTGTCTTGTGCCTCCCGAACTTGCCCAAGCATGATGACTCATTCAGTCTTCTTTCAAAAGTAATCTTATGGATGAAACATCATGGTATTTGATATTTCTTTATTTGTCAAATAGTAGTATTTGCTCCGTATATATTTGCTAGTGTTCACGGAGTATTGTTTATCCATAATTGTTATTTAGTTTAGTTAAATAAGTGAGCTGATTATATATAAGCTTTGGTTTCCTTTTCAGTTATTTTTTGCTTTTCTTGAACCGACGTGATTAGGATTAATTTTTTTTATTTTCATATAAATTTGGGTATCTTGCCTAGAATAGATATCATTCAATAAAGACAATAGGGATCTCTTATCATCGATCACTCCGTTGCATGACTGAATTTTCAAGTACGGGCTACTCGTTTCTTTCTGAACTTCTTTTGTCCTTTATCCTTTCCAGATTTGTTTGAGTACTATTTTTTTCACCATTTTGTCAATGCAATGATATAAATGGAGCTTGACAACATGTGTAGAAGTTAGTAAGAATCTGATGATATGGATTATGCTTTTCTTAGCACTGTTTGTTAACTATTGGGACTTTTTAAGGAAGTCTGTATGCTGAATAAAGTGATGAGGTCATAATTATTTTCTGTGCAATTATAAGTCTGCAATGTGTAGGTCTGTAAGTAGAAAGATGAATACCTAGAATTAGTCTAGAAAGAATAATGAAGCAACAGACTGCAAACATCAAAATCTGTGATGTTGGAGACAAACACAACACTCTTTCGACTTCTTGGTGGATGTTTGAGCCATCAATCTTGAATTGGGCATATCAATTGGACTCCCCACCCTTTTGATCGTAATCTGCACAAATCATCATAATATAATAGCCCTACTTAAAGTGTTGGGCTTTTCAAACGAATTAAATGAAATCAAATACATGAAGAGGAAGAGAGTATTGCTTATGTATGGTTCAATATAAATTGTTACATTGGCCGTAGAATGAAGAAACCTACATACTAGCTCGTAGTAGGTTATGAAAAAGGTTAAGTATGATGCTTTGTATGATTGTGGGAATAAAATGGGTGCATTGTTTAAAAAAAATAAATGAAATAAAATCAGGTAGAAAACTTCCGACCTTTTAGACTTTCGAGTTGAACTTGTACTTGAAGAAGGAAGAAATGATGCCATTGATGTCCTCCATCATCTTCAAAGCCACGAATTCTTCCATCGTCTTCAAAGCAATAGAAAAAAGGCCAAGGTATGGATGATATAGAGGTGGGGTTTATAAACTTATGTTGTTGTTGTTGTAGGTTTTTTGTGTGTGTAAAACATCAGACTTCAAAAAGAAGCAGTCATGCTTTAGATAGTCTTATTTTATGTTGTTAATTACAGCTACCATAGTACATGCCAAATTTACAATTTTAATTTTACAAGAATGCCACACTGGAATTTTGAGTTCCCATTCTTCACCACAAACAATTCTTCATGATTATTTATTTCATTCAGAAATAAATGAATTGCCTTGCTTGGGTGATTCGACTCATATGGAAAAACTAAACATTTAGTGGAATCATCAAATAAGAATGGAAAAATTCATGAAATTGATTAATTTTTCGGACATGGCTCTTCCTCTTGTACCTTCTCCCGGAGCTTTCTCTTACTAAACTACAGGTAATGGCAGGGGTGACATTTTGTTATTGCATAGGAGTAACCATTGTATCTGTGCGGGAGAAATTGTGGTGTTCAATGTTGATGTACGCATCACTTTATATGTGTGTGTGTGTGTGTGTGTATAATATCTCTCATCATGTTCTTTTTTGTTTTTCATCCCAGGCTCATAGAGAGCAATTTGAAAATTTCCTACAAGATTATAATGCTAGATTATCAAATTGATGGTGTTTTCACCTGAAAATGTTCTCACACAGAATATTGCAGTTGGAATGGTAGCCTGCGTCCTGCGAAATTGTAAATACTGTTAGTTTCATATGATGCTTTGTTAGATTCTTGAGAACACAACTTCTTGATCTGGAAATATGACGAAACATGTGAAGAACACCATTGCAAACAATATACGCATCAGCAAGTAGCGCGAAAGAACTCAAGATCACAGCTTTCTCAGGTTCAGAGTGATTCTGCATCCAGTTACTTTTCTGAAGTAGTTAGAGAATAGAGATCATCTGGTTAAACAACAACAACAGCAGCCCTGTAGAGTCCCACATAAATAGGGTCTGGAAAGATCATTTGGTTATGATTATCAACTTGAATTGGATATCCCTATGTTAATTGTGTTTTTTCAAAGGCATATTTTCTCATCACTACCTTCTGCTGCTTACGAAGTCCCTTTATTTTTGGACGCACAGGGACGTGAGATACCTGATGTCCATAAAGGTAAAGAGGGCGGGGCTGTACTACTTTCTGCCTTCTCTTCTAGTCTAGTACATATGCTTGGTGAAGGTGTGCATCTATAATTCTTGTTAGTTGATGATGAAGTAGGTTTCTTCTATATATCATAGTACTTATTTGTTTGATGGTAATGATATTTTTTTCCTGTTAGGTTCACGAAAACACTGTTATGAATATGATTGGATTTGTTTCAGCATAAAGGAGAAGGGTGTATATGTGGGTATATTGCCTTCAATGCATTCATTATAGACTTCACACCTCATAGTAAGATATATGGTAGATTCATACTCCAACATTGACAATATGGTCATGGCCAGCTATATATTGATGGACCTAGCTATATATGGTTGTTGCAAAGACGTGGGAAGAGAGAGGTGTTCGGGTAGGATGTGTTCCAAGGATAAAATGTAAATTATTAATATCCAAGAGTCATTACAAAGTACATTCACGGAATAAACATACAATGCACCGGGGCATACCCCTATAAAATCAAAAGCAAGTCATGCCAAACAATCAAGGTGGAAAAATACATAAATCTAAACTATGTTTGCTTAGATGCACGCATAGCATTAACCACCTTCATATACTCCTTGCTACTCAATACTTCGCCATAGGCATCAAGTAGAGTACTTGGGGGTTTTTTTCAATTTTCTTTCTAAGCAAATCCGGTGCAAGCTTTGGAGTTTGGACGTTTGGCGTCATTTCTATCCACTCGAAGCAGGGCTGCCTTGAGTAGGCGATCAATCCACTCTTCCTTTTGCTTGTCTTGGGCTACTCTCCACGCAGATTTAGCCTCCCCCGAGGAGTAGGAAGACGTAGTTTCATTGTGGGTTTCAACCACCCCATCCGGTTCTGAAGGTTTCTTGTGCTTTGCTCTCTTCATGTTTCCCTTTGCTTCATTGGCCTCCGGCTTGGACGTCGCTTGGTCTTCATGCACTGCCCTGTCCTTAGGACCAGCCGTGATGTTCTCAGCTTGATCACATGGCGTGTAGGCAGGGGGGTTACCAAGGAGCAAAGCAGCTTTCCCATCCACTTCTTTCATGGTTGGCAGTTTTATTCTTCTTGTTTGTCGTGGCTTCAACTGGCTTTGTCACAGCTGCTGGGGGTACCCTTTGGCCAGCCTTTTCACCACGCAAGTCAGCCCCATCAAGGCCATCAACCTGTCCCAAATTAGGAGGCTTAGGCGCTGGTTTAGACACTGGTTTTGGTGCGCCAGACCCACTGTCCAGCCCTTTGTTGCCATCACTCGGGTTATCAATGGTCTTGGTAGCCTTCTTCTGTTTTTGTTTGGTTTCCGGGACAGTCTTGGTAGGTTTCAAGTGACTCGTCCCCTCATCAACCGATTGCACCACATCAACACCTTCCAACGGTTTCAAAGGAGGGGTTTTAACCACTGGTTTGGGCAGGGCAGAGACACTGCCAGGGGCCTCACTGCCATCTCCATTTACTGGTTTACACCTCACCTGTCTTTGCCTTGCCCGTATGGAAGTTTCCCCACTGCTTGGACCCTTACTGGAAGGGGTATTGGCAGTGGTTTTTCCACCTTTACTGGGCAGTTTCTCCGCTCTAAAGTGCTCCGAAATTTTGGCAGTGAAGTCACCCAGTTTCCTGTGATGTAAAGCCCGGAGGACTCTACAATTTAAAAGGTTGTGTCCAAAGTTTTTGCAACGGTAGCAGTACTTTGGGAGGCCCTCATACACAACCCTTTGGGTGTACTTGTCACCGTCAGGTAGATTAACTTCAAAGGACAAAGGAAGTTCCTTCGACATGTCGATCCTAATCAACATTCTACAAAAACTCACCCTTCCCCTAGCTTTGGTTCCTTGGTCTCTTCGCAAGGGGGTTCCCACCCTGGACCCCAAGCAATCAAACGCAATCTTGTTCCAACATTGTAGTGGCACATTAACAAACTTTACCCACACATCGGCCATCATGAATGTATCAAAGTCTACTGTGGTGCATAAGGTTTTGCTGTACGCATATAATGCATCAAAGCCAGGTTGTGTTCCAAACATGTCTACTGTGGTGCATCAGGTTTTTCTGTTCATGTGTGCCTTTGTCTTGTAGAGATGGTAGAGTAGCACTGAAGCTAATTAACATCATGAGGTAGCTAATATTGCATATGTCTTTTATATTTCATGAAGATTGTTCTAGGCTTATGGCTTAGAAAATGCCAAGAGCACTGTTTGTCTCTAGGTTCTTGCCTTGTGTCATGATAAATTGTACTCCCTCGGTTCCACAAAATCTTTCCGGTTTTGACTTTGGAGGAAAATAAGGAAAGTGTAATTTTGGTTGACTTTCTAATTTTGATCCTAATGTGATAGGAAAAAGTAAGATGTGATAGTTTGGTTATTAATGAAAAAGTATGATTTGATAGGTAGGGTATGAAAAAGTAGGGGTAAAAGTGATTTTTTAATAGAAAGTGGAAATGTTTTGTGAAAAGCAAAAAAACAAAAGAGGAAGGGTTTTGCTATGAGAGAGAAGATGATCATCAAGCTTTTATTTGCAAAGTTATTAAGACATCATCAAGAATAATTATCTTTTTCTTTTGCTTGCTGCTATGAAGCAACAATCATCTGCTAAATGTTGGTTTTCTTTGAGAGTGTTGCTCAATGAGCAAGGTGTGTGCGTGTGTTTGCATTTTTTATTGAAAAATTTGCACTAAATATGACTAAAACATAAGTCATTTCTTAATGTAAGATTTAAATTTTTTTATTCTCTAAATAGGACTTATTAATGTCTAGTGGAGGAATAATGTTCAGAGGGTAGACATTTATTTAAATAATGACGAATATATAATGATCAATGACTATACATTGGGAAATGAAAATATAAAATTTTATATGAAAAAAGTCATTATTTTTTAGTCTTATTTAGGTAAATTACCCTAAACACAAAAAATAAAGATAAAAGAAGTTGAAAATTAGGCGAATTCTTATTTGGATTTAAGGTCCATGTTTATTTTATTCTATGGACTTTTGTGCATTTATAGTACAAAAAATACTCGTAGATCTTTAAATAAATTAGTTTTACATGGAAGCTTATGAAAATGTGAAAAATTTTAGAATAACCTTTGGGACCACAAATTAAAGACAATAAGGGGCTGTTTGGCAACTTCTGAATGGGTAAGTGCTGAATCAGTAAGAGGTCTGAATCATTAAGTGCTGAACTAGTAAGAGGTCTGAACCATTAAGAGCTAGTATATTGCTTAACTATTCAGAGGCAAATATCTGATCAATTCAGATAAGAGGTATTAATCAATCAGAATCTGTATAATACTTAACCATTTAGAGGCAAAGCTCTTAACCATCCATACTTCTGAACCATTAAGAGGCTGAAACAAACAGTCTGAACCATTAAGTGTTGAAGCATTCAGACATCTGAACCATTAAGATGCTGAAACAAACAGCCCCTAAGAGTGGTCTACATTGGACCCTCACATAATTTTTTTATATAAAAAAAAAGCGAGCTTGCCATTCTCGTGTGAGTGGCTGAGTGCACGAATTTGCGATTTATTTTAAAAGATGTACTCCTAAATAGGATTGTAAATTGAACAAATTGATCAATCAAATACTATGAATTTGCATTTGAAAAATTTTACCATTATTCATATTCATATTCGTTTTTAATTCGAATAATTGTTAGTATCCATATTCGATTTGATGTTAAATTTAAGTATTCGGTTTGTATTTGTATTTTATTATAAAATATAAATTTTGAGTTTTTTTTACGTTTTATAGCTTCAAAAAATATTGCCCCACAAATTAACTATTTACACCATCCATTCGTTAAAAAGGTTCCTATTTTGATTAGTGGAAGAAATAAAGAGTATATTTGTAATTGAATTTCTAATTTTCTCTTTGATGTGATATGTAAAAATAAAATATGATAGGTAAATTATTAGTGAAGAAGTATAATATAAGAGGTATGGAAGATATTGGTAAAAGTGATTTTTAATAAAAAGTGGAAGTTTATGGTGAAAAAAAGAAAAATAAATATTTACACTAAATAGTACTAAAACTTAAGTCATTTTCCTAAATAGAACTTAAATTATTTTATTTTTTAAATAACACTTAATAATGTCCAGTGATGACACATATTTACTTGAATAATGACTAATGCATAATGACTAAAAGTACTACATCAAAAGAAAAATATATGTGATGCTATTTAAAGAAAATTATTATGTTTTACTGCTATTGAAGCAAATTTCCCAAAAAAATCAAAGAGAGAATATTTTAGTCAACGACGGGAGTATTTGTACTAAAAGAGACATGTCCAAAATAACTGTTAGGAAATAATTATATAGTATCTATATTTATGGTAGTAGTTTATTCATAGTAGGAGTTTATTCTCTCCTATTCTCCTACTCCTTTTTATGGTAGGATTTCTCCTATATATATTGTATTGTACCTTTCAGTATTATCTTGAGTAAATTCAATATTCCAATAATAACAACGAAGACCTAGTTAACTTCGAATATGTTCGTTAGCGTATAGAATAGAATATATAAACATTTGTATTCGTTTATTCCAATATTTATATTCGTATTCATATTCATTTTTTGAATACGAATCACGAATCGAAGCAAAATTATTTGTTTGTTTTACAACCCTCCCTACTCATAAATATATTTTTTACTCCTGTAAACAATTTAGTTATTTATGTACAATTTAAGCGGTCAAATTTAATATTCTTTTATTTATTTTAACTACTCATTTGATAAAGAATAATACAAAGTATAATCATATCGGACATGTTTGAGAGTAGCGTTAGAATTCGTTTAAGGATTGATAAATACGAAAGAGATTGGCCTTAGACTAAAGATATTATTGAATGACAAATGTTGAGTATGAATGATGAATATAGATATTGAATGACTAAATAATGAATGTTGAAAATTGAGAATTGATTATTGAATATTTGAACTGAACATTATGAGCATAATATTGATTATGAATTTGAGATTGGGAATTTTTTTTTTTACATATATAGAGGGCATTTACTCAAATTTTTGTGCTTCCTAAAGGTGAGATACCGAAATCCTAATCCTCCTAGAATTCGCAACTTTATAAAGATCAAATCAGATCTTTAAAAAAACAAAAAAAATTACCCCAATCAGGTCTTCCCTGTCATTCATTCATCTTCAAGATCTTTTCTTGCTCTCAATCTTCATTAATTAATTAACGGAGGTAAACATGGGTTGGCGATATAAGAAGGAAGCTGGATCGAAGAAGGAAACTGAATCCCTTTGGGATTCGGTTTAGTATCTTTCCTAGTTTGTTTATTTCTTGTTTTAGTAGGAATAGAAGTATGGTAGGATTAGAAGTTTACTTATATGCTTTACTCTCTTCCTATATAAAGGGATTAGACTTTTGTATTCACAAGCCAATTCAAAATACAAAATACAATTCTCTTCTATACTTTCTAGAACATGTATTCGTTTCGTCACTGGTCTGAGAAAACCCTAGATGAGATGAGCGAAGGGGACTGGAGAATCTTCTGTGCAAAATTCAACATCAATTACAAAGGTGCCAGAGTTCCTCCGCCCATGAGGAATTGGTCTGAGAGTAAACTCAGCGCCGAGCTTCTTAATGGAGTCCAGCGAGCGGGCTACGAGAAACCCTCCCCAATACAGATGGCTGCTGTTCCTATTGGTCTGGAACATCGCGATCTCATCGGTATTGCTCCCACCGGCTCTGGTATGACTGCCGCTTTCGTCCTTCCCATGCTGATGCATGTTTATAATCTGATGGTTGAATCAGAGAAGAGCATCGATGATGATGATGACGATCAGGGACCTTGTTCTCCTTATGCTCTTGTGTTGGCCCCTACACGAGCCCATGTTCTCCAGATTGAGGAGGAGACTGTTAAATTTGCCCCTTATCTCGGAATCAATATTTTCTCCATACTTGCTGGGCAGCCAATTGATGAGCAAGGTCCCAGAATTCGTCAAGGGCGCTTCCAGGTTGTGATAGCCTCTCCATTCCGTCTTCTACACTGTTTGCAAAGGCGCTATCTCGTCTTAAACCAGTGTAACTATGTTGTTCTTGACCAAGCAGACCGTATGATTGATATGGGGTTTAAAGATCAGGTCACAGAAATCCTAGATTCCATGCCCCGCCTGCGGAATAACAATAACATGAAACCCGAGAATTTAGATGGTGAAGATGAAGAAGAAGTTGATGGGAAACAGGTTTATCGCACTACACAAGTCTTCAGTGCCACCATGCCATGGGCTGTGGAGAGGCTGGCGAGAAAATACTTGAGAAATCCGATTGTTGTTAGGATATGCACAGAGGAGGAGGCCAATGAACCCCCCATCACACAACATGTGATCATGATGAAACCCTCTGAGAAATCCAGGAGATTACGGATTTTACTGGACGAGCTTGGAGATGGTAAGACTGCAATTGTGTTCACAAACACTAAGAGCGATGCATGTACTATTGCTAAATTCTTGGGTAAGGATGGCTATCGCGTTGCGTTACTACATTGGGGCATGGAGGGGGAGCAAAGAAGAATCATCCTGGATGGCTTGAAGAACAATGAACACAATGTCTTGGTTGCTACAAATGCTGCAGCATATGGAATAGATGTTCCTCATGTTGCACACGTGATAAACTACGACATGCCCGGGGACATCGACACATATACTAATCGTATTAGCCGTGTTGGTGGCGGCATTTCAACAACATTTTTGACACTGGATGACACAGATGTGTTCTGTGATTTGAAGCAACTGCTCGTTCAAAGCAATTGTCTTGTGCCTCCCGAACTTGCCCAAGCATGACGACTCATTCAGTCTTCTTTCAAAAGTCATTTTATGGATGAAACATCATGGTATTTAATATTTATTTATTTGTCAAATAGTAGTGTTTGCTCCGTATTTATTAGCTAGTGTTCACAGAGTATTGTTTATCCATAATTGTTATTTAGTTTAGTTAAATAAGTGAGCTGATTATATATAAGCTTTGGTTTCCTTCTCAGTTTTTTTTTCCCGCTTTTCTTGAACCGACATGATTAGGATTTTTTTTAATCTTCATATAAATTTGGGTATCTTGCCTAGAATAGATATCATTCAATAAAGACAATAGGGATCTCTTATCATCGATCACTCCGTTGCATGGATGAATTTTCAAGTACGGGCTACTCGTTTCTTTCTGAACTTCTTTTGTCCTTTATCCTTTCCAGATTTGTTTGCGTACTATTTTTTTTCACCATTTTGTCAATGCAACGATATAAATGGAGTTTGACAACATGAGTAGAAGTTATTAAGAATCTGATGAATTGGATTATGCTTTTTCTTAGCACTGTGTGTTAACTATTGGGAATTAAACGTTTTAAGGAAGTCTCTGTGCTGAATAGAGTGATGAGGTATTAATTATTTTCTGTGCAATTATAAGTCTGCAATGTTGTATTGTATGTAAGTAGAAAGATGAATACCTAGAATTAGTCTAGAAAAAAATAGAACAGACTGCAAACATCAAAATCTGTTAGATTTTTGAGAAGACCCAACTTCTTGATCTGGAAATATGACGAAACATGTGAAGAAAATTAAACCATTGCAAACGATATATGCATTAGCAAGTAACACGAAAGAACTCAAGATTACAGTTCTCAGGCGCCCAGAGTGATTCTTCATCCAGGTACTTTTCTGAAGTAGTTAGAGAATAGATATCATCTGGTCAAACAACAACAGCTTGCAGGTGAAGTTGTGCATCTATAATTCTTGTTAGTTGATGATGAAGCATGTTTCTTTTGTGCATATTTGTTTGCTATTCATGTGTACCTTTGTCTTGTAGAGATGGTAGGGTAGCACTGAAGCTAATTAACATCATGAGTTAGCTAATATTGCATGTCTTTTATATTTCATGAAGATTGTTCTGTCCTTATGGCTTAGAAAATGCCAAGAGCACTGTTTGTCTCCAGGTTCTCGCCTTGGGTCAGTTGGGTGATGATAATTGTATGTCTGAGAAGCTGATCATCAAGTCTCTAATTGCAAAGTTATTAAGACATCTTTTCTGTGGGAGTGTTGCTCAATGAGCAACGTGTGAGGTGTTTTCCTCCCCCTAATTTTTTTCTTCTCATTTTCACATCTTTTAATTGTTTTAATTGCATAATGCTTGTTACTAAAAAGGAATATTTTAATCTTGGAAACATTCATTTGTGATTTAGGTGACAATTGCAGAGAAAACGCAAAAAAGGGAAATAAAAGAAATTGAAAATTAGGTGAATTCTTATTTGGATTTAAGGTTCATGTTTATTTTATTTTATGGACCTTAGTCATTCTCCTATGGAGCCAAAGATTCACTATTTTTTGGCTTTGGGTATGATGGATTAAAGTTATTTAGCTCTTTAAACTGTCTGCGATTCTTGTAATTGTGAAGTAGTAGTTACTCAATGCAACTTTTGATGCTCATCATGGGTCATTTGAAAACACACGCTCTATATTTTGAACATAGGAGTCAGACTGCGTACATTCGATACCCCTTTACCCCGCAATGCAGGGGAGCCATTGAGACAGTGGTGTTATTGTTGTTGATGGACCTTAGTGTATTTATAGCATAAAAAAGTAAGTCTTTACATAAATTATATTTACATGCTAGCTCATGAAAAATATGAGACGTTTAAAGTAGATCATTAAGGCCACAAATTATAAAAAAAGAGTGGTATAGACATTCTCACATGAAATTTTCTTTTTTTATTTGAAAAAAAAAGTAAGCTTTGGGTTTCCATTCTCATGTGAGTGCAAGAATTTGCCATTATCTTAAAAGGTGTACTCCTAAATATGTTTTTTACTCTTGTAAAAAATTTAGTTATTTATGTACAATTTAAGTGGTCAAATTTAATAGTTTTTTAATTATTTTAACTACATACTCATTTGATAAAAAATAATACAAAGTATAATCATATCATTTCTTTACCCGCATAATTTTTTTTATGTAGATTGTGAATATATACGAGGTAATTTTACTTCATGTTTTTTAACTCCATACTAATTTGAAATAAATTGAATTGGACATAATTTTAATCAAATATTATTACGCAAAATAAGTCATTTAAATTGGGATGAGAGTATTCATCAAGGGTATGTTTGGTGAGTTTTGAAGATATTAGTTATGGAATCTCATAAAAATGACACGAGTTTTAAAATCTGAAAAGATTTTGTTTGGAGAGATTAATGATTTAATTAGTGATAAACAGGGGTGACCGGCAACGGTGATAGTTGACAGTGACGGCAGTGGAAATAATCAACAATTGAAAGAGATATCAAACCTCCATGTTGATATCTCTCAAATTCGAGAGATATTGAAATCTGTCATTTTGAAGATTTATGATGTCTGAAGATATGAAATTTGATATCTCTTTTGACTTCACAAAATATAAGGAAAATATTTTAATATGTGAAGTTATCAAAACTCATATTCTATTTGATCACTAAACACACCTTTAAGTATTCTACGTTTATGATTGGGATTATGCTATGTGTACCCCAAGGTTTGTACCTCAATTTGTACCCCGCAGTTTTGCACCAACATTTTTGTGTTGGTGCAAAACTAATTTTTGTTAAACGCACCAACATTTGTGTTCATGTGAATTTTTATTAACGCATCAACACTTGTGTCGGTGTAAACCATCGAAATGTTTGTGCAAACATGTGGTTTACAAATGGGGTATATTTTTTTGGAGTAAGTGTAGCATGGTCCTTATGATTGAGACCCATTTTTTAGATCTTAACATTCTTTTATTCCCCACGTTTTATTACACTGAAAAAAGAAAAAAAAAAAGTGAACTAAATCCAATTCCTACCTTAGCGGGAAAGGAGAGCGGTTTGTGGCATACAATTTCTCCGACTCTCTCTCTCAATGTCATAACTGCTCTGGTTCACAATAACAAACTTCCATATCCATGATCCATGAAACTGGTGAGGAAATTCTGATCAGTAAAACCGCAATTCCATTTCATTAACTAAGCGCAATGAACCGACTCTTTGCCGGGAACGTGACGACGACGATGAGGAGGAGGCTGATCGCCGCCGGCCGGTGCGTCGAATCACTCTCCCCGTCGTCGGCTGCAGCGGTGGATGGATCGGCGATGGCTACGAGGGCGCTCTGCTTTCCGTTGGGGAGCACGAGGATGGTGAGCTCGTTCCCGGATGTGATTGCGCCGAAGTCGACGGAAAAGGGGAAGAGGGATCAGAAGAAAGGCGGCGGCGGCGGAGATGTGGTGGTTTCAAGCTATTGGGGGGTGGTGCGACCTAAGGTCATGAGAGAAGACGGCAGCGCGTGGCCGTGGAACTGTTTCATGGTAATTAATAGTGAAAATTAATCCATTTAATTAACGATATTCATTCATCTGTGATCTGCATCAATCAAAATAAATCAATACCTTGATTATGCTGATCATCATCATCATCATGCATCTAGGGTTCCCAATGCGTTTTAGTAGTTAGCATTTGGGCAACCTATAACCTAATTAAAATTTTAAAGATCTGCAAGGAGAAACCAATTGTTACTGGAGATGTCAGATGTGTTTTCTTAATTGCAGCCATGGGAGACGTATGAAGCAGACTTGTCCATAGATCTGCACAAGCGCCATGTACCAAAGACGTTCACTGACAAATTTGCACTCAGGACGGTGAAGCTGCTCAGAATTCCAACGGATCTGTTCTTTCGGGTACCTATATTTGCTCCAAATTGATAAATAGGGAGTATGTGGTGATTGATTGATTGATTCTATGATCTAACTTCAGCTCATATTTTACATGGTATCTGGGCTAAGGTCATTGATGTTGGATCGTCTGGTTATTTGGGAGGGAGGCATTTTGATTTTTAAGTTCTCAACTTCCCACATGGGTTGTGTACACTGATATTATAATGCTTATATTCACTTGGGTGCCTCAAGCCTTTGAGTTAACTTTTGGGATTGAATTGAGTTCAAATCCATTATTTTAGAGACTCTTACCCCCAAATGCAATTACCAGTTTCTAAGTCAAGAAAAATAAGCCCTGAGTGTCTTATTATTGGAAACTAATCCTTGATGGTCCCATTCTAGGAATTCAAGGACTCAATTACTCCCAGTTTTGGGCTATGTGTGCATTTCTTAGGAAGGATATATCTTTCGAATACTAAACGTATTCATAAGCACAAGTAATTTTTGCAGAGACGATACGGGTGTCGTGCTGTGATGCTGGAAACTGTGGCGGCCGTTCCTGGTCTGGTTGGGGGATTGCTTTTGCACCTCAAGTCTCTGCGCAAATTTGAACAGAGTGGGGGCTGGATCAAGGCGTTACTTGAAGAAGCCGAGAACGAGAGGATGCACCTGATGACCATGGTGGAGCTTGTGAAGCCCAAGTGGTACGAGAGGCTACTGGTTCTTGCAGTCCAGGGAGTCTTCTTCAACTGTTTCTTTGTACTTTACCTCTCTTCCTCCAAAGTGGCACACCGAATCGTGGGTTATCTAGAAGAGGAGGCTATACATTCGTACACCGAGTTCCTGAAAGATATCGAGAGTGGGAAGATCGAGAACGTCCCTGCTCCTGCCATTGCAATAGACTATTGGAGGCTTCCAAAAGATGCAACTCTTAAGGATGTTATTACAGTCATTCGTGCCGATGAAGCCCATCACAGGGATGTCAACCACTTCGCTTCTGTAAGCATGATTTTTGGTTTTCTGCTTTTTGCTCCTTAATTAGAGTGCCTTTGGTTGGGACTTGGGAACCAAAAACATTTGGAGATTTGGGGCAAAAAAAAAATAAAAAAATCCTTCCCTTCAACATTTGGAGGGTTTGACAAATTGTGAAGCTCCCGTCTCTAAATGTTTTGAACCAAACGGGTTTGAGAATATTGGATTAAGAAGATTTTGCTTTAAACTAGATAATCGATTAGATTCGATAGCTTGACCCAAGTATCTCACGAACCAGCTGAACAACGTCTACTTCATATATAACCAATACAAAAATACATCGAAATGAATTAGTGTTTGGTTGTACAAAATTGAAATGTGGTTTAAACATTTGAAATATTGAACATATGCAGGATATCCGGGTGCAGGGGAAGGAATTGAAGGAAGCACCAGCCCCTATTGGTTACCACTGATGATAGAATATATGCAAGTAGGACTGACTATATATTATAGTGAAAGGAGTATGAAGCATTCTCTTTCTTTCTTTTTTTTAGATGGGATTCTTTTATTTATAGGTCAATGAATATATCATTTGTATGTCACTAATAAAAGCACTCCTTGCCTAGTTATGAAAATTTGCGTAGGTAGATTTTAGGTTTTTTTTTTTCATTTGAACAAAGCACAAAAATATATTAACTCCAAAGAGCAGTTTCCAATACAACAAAAACGAAACACACAATAACAAGAACCAACACCTAACACCAGCATACAACGTGAAAACATAGACTAGTTACCCATAATAATATTGAAGTGTTCTTTGATAGTCTTCAGCGTGTCCACCACAGTCATCTCCTTGTTGTGAAGCTTGGAGTTTCTAGCTTTCCAAATGAAGTAACAACAGGTCACAACACAAGCAGCAATTGCCCTCCTGTCTCTTCTGTTTCTTCCCTTATTCATTCTCTGTCCTAGCTCAGCAATGGAATTAGCTTCCATGTCATACTGGATAAGTTTTTTTTTTCATTTGATTGCTTTTAAATTTTACGCAGTATCAAATGTCTCATGGTGATTTCTCAGAGTAATAATAATAAATGACTAATGTCTGTTTCCCAGAGGAATGATGTTAATTTGCTCCCTCACCCCCCAAATTTTTTGAATCAAATAAATAAAAGAGCATTTCCCCCCTCTTCTCGATATTCCATCCAACGAAACTTACCTTAAAATATGGAAATTATATAAATATTTTATTTCCTAAATAGGATTATTACATGACACTCTGAAACACACGCAATTAGACGTTGTGTGTTAACATTTTTATAATGTTTCTAGTCTTAGTTCTAGTTAGGTATTTCCCCGTATTTGGATTTACTCCGTAGTTGTCTACATTAAAAAAATCTCATTTAAAGAAGTGATTACGTACGATTAATATGGAGTATCAATTAAGTTGATCATTTAAATTGTTGAAATATTGGAATAATAATATTGCTCCTTGAATTATGGGGTACATGATAGAGTATATATAAGAGAGACTTCTAACACAACTAGGAATATAGAATAGAAACTAACTAACATACAACATCTACCACAAATAGGATTAGGAAGCTGACTAATAATGAAACACTACCACAACCAATACTACCACAAGTAATACTATTATTATTGTCTAACATCCCCCCTCAAGCTGAACTCTGGCTGAAGCAAGAGGAAACTTGGACACTAGCTGGAAACTGGAAACTTTGAGAAGAGAGAAATCTGACATGCGCCGGTGGCTTCTCACGTCCTTGGAGAAGAGAGAAGTGTGACGCGCGCCGGTGGCTGCTGACATCGTTGGAGAAGAGAGAAGTCTGACGTGCACTGGTAGCTGCTAACGTCGTTGGAGAAGAGAGAAATTGACGTGCGCTAGTAGCTGCTGACGTCGATGAAGAAGAGAGAAGGTTGACGTGCGCTTGTAGCTGCTGACGTCAAAGAAGAATAGAGAAGGCTACTGGAGGTGCCTGTTTGACTGAAGATCCTTGACATTTTTTGTCTTTTTCTTGGATCCGGGCAATGCCCTATTTTCTTCTTGAAGGGGTGAGTTGTAAAGGTCTTATTTCTTCTTTCACTACTTCCCCTCTTAGCTTTGCTTTTGTGGTGATTTACTTTGGATTTTTATTGGTTCAACAGAAGAGAAAGAGAAGGAAGGTTGATGATTAGAATGCGTGATTTTAGAGAGAAAAAGTAGGTTAAGAATTGGAGATGGGAAAAAAATTTGGGTCTGAGATTTTGATATGGTGAATTGGAGAGAAATAACAATCATTTTTTTTTTCCTTTTTTTTCAGAAGATAGGATGATTTGAGAGAGTTTGTGAGGAGTTGAGTTTTTTTTTAAGAACCATGGAGATGACAAGAGAGAAGTTCCTCCTTTGATTGTTTTTTTTTGTGTGATTTCAACAGGAGTTTTTTTCCTTTTTTTTCATTTGAATGGAGAAGTTGATTTGAGGATAAAGAAGAAAAAGAAAATAAAGGTGAATAGGGTGGAGCCGCCGTCGCCGGAATTACCGGGGGCGGCTTTGGGAGCAAAGAACTTTTTTTAGGTCACCAAGTGCGCTGGCTCTGATACCATGTTGAAATATTGGAATAATAATATTGCTCCTTGAATTATGGGGTACATGATAGAATATATATAGGAGAGACTCCTAACACAACTAGGAATATAGAATAGAAACTAACATACAACATTTACCACAAATAGGATTAGGAAGCTGACTAATAATGAAACACTACCACAACCAATACTACCACAAGTAATACTATTATTATTGTCTAACATAAATATATTTATCATTTATTGATGTCAACAATATTATCTTGTTATCTAGATGTTTTAGATATATAGTTTGGCACGATTATTTGTTTAATAACAAATAAAAGTAAACAACTACTTTCAAACCAAAAAAATATGAAAATGAACAACATTCGTACAATCTCGTATGTGTATGGAGATTACCCAAATAAAACTTATATGTGCACGTGAAACGGATCGCAGAAGTAAACACGTCAAGAAGATGTTGCAACACTGATCGCAAATGTAACAGATTGGCAAGCGAGGTGTTGTACCAACTTCTATTTCACATGATTTAAAAATACTCATTAAATAATACGGAGTATAATTTAGCTGTATGCTTAATTTGGCACAATTTTTTTTATAAAATGAAAAAAAAAAGTGATTAAAATTTGGTTAAAAGAGAAAAACCTACACAACCAATATACGGAGTAATTTTTATAATAAGAAAAGAATTAATTTTTGAAACGCATTAAATGGAAGATAATTAAGGAACAAAATTATACTCCCTCCATCCCAAAAAAATTGGTACACTTTACTATTCAAAAATTACAAAAATTTCTGTTTATCTTTTGTTTTGCATTGATTATTTAATAAAATGAAATATTTTTATCACTTCTTGTTTTGTAAAACTTTTGACGTATTTAATTTTTAAATTTGTAAGTTTTATTATTTTATTTCTATACCAATCTTTAAATAAAATAAATAGAAAAAATTCAAAACTTTATTTTAATTTGTTTAATATAATATTACAATCTTTTTTGGATATATGGATTGATGAGCATGGTCATTTCAAGTTGGGCAAGGAAAAGTAAAGCTCATTCATAAGTTTTGTCCCATCGTGAATGAATCACATGCAACCTATCATGCATGCAACTCATCATCAACTACTAATTATTAACCCAAAACTTCTCAAAACTTAAATTCAATTCATATTATATATGCACTCTATATATATACCTACTCAAATAATTAAGAATCTAATCTAATAATAAGATACCTAGCTGCGAGGTAACATAATGGGCCCGACGGCGGCCGGTGGCGGGGGAGGCGGACAGAGGGCTCCGAAGGGGCATTTCTTGGTATACGTGGGAGAGGAGATGTGGAGGTGCGTGCTACCGACCACTTACTTGAAGAATCCGTGCATGCTGAGGCTTTTGGGGGATGCGGCGGAGGAGTACGGCTTCTGCCGCCGCCGCATTGTTTTGCCTTGCGACAAACACACCTTTCCCAGGCTGCTCCGGCCTCCCTCCTCCACATGACTCGTCGGATCTACAAAAAAGTCAAAAGTAGACAAATACTTCAGGACAGAGGGAGTGAGTAATTACTAGTGATTATATTGGATTACCACATTTATTCCATAGCTAGGGCTTCATTATATGTCCAATTCCGATCCATTGTTGTCATATACTCTTCATTTGTATATATACTACCCGTATATATTTTTTTTATTTAAGATCTGTTGTTTAAATTCTATAGAGTATTACTTTAATTTGTAGGGAGTAGATGTATACATGTTCATGTCTTATCTAGACAATAGGCGAATTAATTTATACTTCCTCTCTCCCATGTCCCAAAATGATTTTTCCAGTTTGATCTTTTCACTCATTTTGAAGGGATTTGAGAAGCATATTAATGTAAAATGTGAATTTAGTCTTAATTATGACGGATTGACGGGTCTCATATATTTTATCGCTTACTCTATAATATATGAGTGTTGACATTGCAAAGCGTTTGCTATTTAATTGGCATCGTGTCTTGATATTTTTAGGTACTACTTATTACCTTCGATCCGTTCGAAAATTATCTTCTTATTGTTCTCAGTCAAAGTTTATAAACATTGACTGAAATTTATTGAAAAATACTTGTGTTTCGATACATAAATATAATATCAAATTACCAATAATCTTCTTACGAAACATGATTTTGAAATATTAATATATCATATATGAATTAGATATTAATAGTTAGAGTGTTAGAGCATCCACAATGGTAACATCTCTCTTTAGAAGTTATAGTGCTAGCAAAAGTTAATTCATTTTATCAAACAAAATAATTGACATGTTACCCTTTTATCAAATACGTAGTACTACGTAATTCATTATATTTTTTTACTTGTTGTAATACCATGAAAGGTTTATACCACGTGAAAAAATTATTGGATTGGAGAAACATGTCAATTTCTTTTTTAATGGTCAATGAAAATGTATATGCAAATGAAAGTTATCAGTAACTCCAAACACTAACTAAGACAGAAAAAGTATAAAACTTGATCAAAAAAATATAATTATATATATATATATGTGTGTAATATAATAGGTTAATTTTCAATATTTTGTTTCAAAAGTGGTAAAATCAAATTGAGACGATGAATTTAGGAGAGAGAGGGGACAAAATAGTATCCTTTCTTTGGCTGCCTAAAAAAGTTAAACGGCAAAATCCGGCGTTGAGTATGCAATCGCTGACCGCGGCGGAATTGTAGGGCGTCCCAAATTGGCTATGTCAATTTCACGCACCCGACCCGAATTCAAAGATTGATAAAACCCAGCGCCTGCAAGATCTTATCGCCCGATTCCGTTTCCTCAGCTTTCGTTCTCCCTGTCGTCGTCGTCGTCGTCCTCGGGAGAAATATTATAGAAAACAAGGTTTTCTTCTGGTTTCCCATGAGCATATGTGATTAGGGGAGGCGGGATGGATAAATTGTTCGATAAGCTAAGAAAGTTGGACGCCTACCCGAAAGTCAATGAAGATTTCTACAGCCGTTCTCTCTCCGGCGGTCTCATCACACTTGTCTCCTCCATCGTCAT